GTTCTAGGCACTCTTCTAGACACTGGAGATAGAGGAGTGAGCCAAACTGCAAGAAATCCCTGCCCTCATAGAGCTTAACATTCTAGTGAGAGACAGTGTACAGTGGGGGAAAATACATATATGTATATGTATGAAACATCAGATAAGTGATAAGGAGAAAAAATAAAGTAGGGAAGGGGGATATGAAGTGTTGAGGGTGACTGAAATTCCAGAGAGGGTGGCCAGGGAAGGTCAGCAAGGCGACATCCTCCCTCCTGGCCATCGGAGATGAGCTCCTAGGCCCTGCCACTCTGCTCTCTGTTCCTGGAAGAAGCAACAGGCCCATGGGCAGGTGGCTGGGTCATGACTTTGGGGAGCTCTGGGTAAACCCAACAAAAACCCATGCGCCTGGCTCTGTTGCTGGGGAGGGTGGCCTACACGGGGTTGGTTCCCAGCGCGGGAAGAGGGCAGTGTTGGTTCCTGGGGTTCTCTTGAGGTCAGTCCTGAGTTGGCCATCAAGAAGCCATGTGACCTGAGGAAATCCCTTCTGTGCTTCCTCTTGCTCCTGGTAACACTGAGACCCCCGCATGTTTGTGTTCCTCACAGGAGAGTTGAAAACACAATCTCCGTGGATCGGCCACTGGTAAGTGGTAAGGCTCTTACGTGTGAGAAGGTTCAGAGGATCACCTTCCCAGGGCCAGGCAGGAGACAGGCTGGTGGTGGAGGAGAGAGTGGGTGTTGGCAGAGGGAGAAGGGGGTCTGGGGTGTGCAGAACGATCACCGCATGTCACCATAGCTTTTGTGTGGCATGGGCAGAAGTGAAGGTCCTGGAGCCAGTCGCTCACTCCAGGAGCTGGGATGTACGGGAAGAGGGTCCTAGAAGGGAGAAGCAGTTTGAATAATTAGAGGAAGAGAAAAAGGAAGCAGGAAGAATGGATGACGAGAACAGCAGGTGACAGTGGATTATGAGATGCCGTCTCACGTAGAGGACAGCATACCGGCTTTGGGTCAGTGTCAACACTTGGGTCAACCACCATCACAGACGTTTGCTTTTAGTATTAAGTGCATTTGGTTCTAGCCTCATCTTTCGAACACTGGTAATCAGTGAACTTATCAGGAGCTGCAGACTCACAGCTTATGGGAGCTGGAATTTCACCTAAATGAGAAGAACAGGTAGAGGCAGGGCTTCGGGTGTCCCCACTGGCATATCTGTTTTCAGTTCTCAGGGACACTTGGCTTCAGTGTTGGAGGGACAACTGGCATGGTGGTGACCGTGGCAACCTGAGGGTACCACAGGGGATTGCAGGCCCAGGGCAGCCAGACCTTCAGTTTTACAAAAGAAGCCCAAAATCTGGATATCCATATTAAATCATCCAGTGTTAAACACCTGCTTCAAAAAAAAAAAATACTATATAAGTCAAACAAAACTCACTGCCATTTGGGTAAGCCACTTTTTTGGTGTATTAGTAACCAACATCATTGAAAAATAAAACATTAGCAGGAAGATCCCTTCCTTCGGCCAGGTCCAGTAATGGACAGTATAAAACAAAGCCATAGCCTCAGCTCGTATCCGGGCCTTGAGTGAGGAGAAAGTTCTCCTCTCTCCTCACCTTTCAGCCACCTCTTTGGCTCCTTGTAACCCTGATTTCTGGACCCCAGAGCCTCACCCCAAGCTGAGGACCAGGTCACAGGGAAGCCAAAAGCCACTGGGTTTTCTGGGAACTTGCTTTTCACTTATCCTGCCTTTGCCTATTTCCTTTTCTTGCGCAGAAAAAGAAAAAAGCCAAGGTGAGTGTGAGCGGGTAAGCCGGGTGGACAGCATGGAGTGTGCGTGCGCACGTGCACCAGCCTCCTCCTCCCCTCCGTCCCTAAGCCCCTGTTGCAGCGTGGGTGTGTAGTAACAACAGCTAATCCTTGCCGAGTGGAGGCTGTGTGTCAGGCACTCTTCTAGATGCTTACATGGATCAGCTCGCTTAATCCCCACAACCACCTTATGCGATTAGTGCTACCATCACCCCGTTTTCAGAGGGTGAAATAGGAACAGAGAGCTTAACCAGTTTGCCCAAGGCCACACAGCCAGTAGGTGGCAGAGCCAGGACTCAGAGCCAGGCAGTCTGGTTCCAGAGTCTCTGTTCTGAACCCATGCTATGCTGCCCACCTCTCACAAGGAGGAGGAGAGGATGGGCAACCAGTAAAAATGGGCCTGAAGTAGGGGCCCTGAGAAAATCAAAAAGAGCACGCCTTTTCAGAGGCGGGTTTAGCCAAGCCAAAGCTTGATTCTTGGGGCAGCAGGTTTTATTCCTCGGGTTACAGTGAGATGGTCGCAGGAGGGCTTCCGTGGAAAGCAGGTAGTCTCACGACGCCAGCTGCACACTCTGTAGACCAGATGTCTACTTTCCCTTCTCTCTTTTCTCTGTCTGCTCCCCACACCTTTTTCCTCAGCCTTCTCCTGGGGAATGGGTGGTAGAGGATGCCCAGAGGGGCCAAGTCACAGCCAGGGCTCATTTGCAGGTGAAGCTTGTTGCAAGTTCCCTTTTAGGAGAGCGACCTGTCACCCTGAATCAAGCTACGAAGGGCCCTCCTGAGTGCGGCGCTGGTGCAGCATGGCAGGAGTGTGATGGCCTCTGCTTGCTGCATGTGTCCAGACGGAGGCGGCCCTTCCAAGGACAAAGGGAAACTTCGCCTACACAGCCCCAGGGTTGGTGCTCAACTTGACTGTTTAAGGGGGAGGAAGAAGGAAAGCTACCTGAGCAGCTTCCTCTCCCGGAAGTCTGGGGTTGTTGCCGTCCTCCGCCGATTCACCAGAGCCTCTAACAGCCCCTCCCGGGTGTTCTAGCTGTATCCACACTGCTGCAAAGACATGGTCCCTACAGGTCCCTAAAGGTGACCACGTGTGCTAAGGGCTTCTCAGGGGCCTTCGAGCAAAGCTTTCATCTGCGACCAGGTCCCTTTGTATGGCTTTGGAACCTCATATTACAGTTGTAGTGTTGCTATGAGCCAGAGTCCACTTGACGGCAATGGGTTTGGTTTGGTTTTGATTAGCAACTTAAACTCTCTCCTACCCCCATTCTTGCTTCATTTACCCCATAAATTCCCCCACAGTCTCTGGGGGAATAATGGCCACAATAATGTGTATCCTTTTAGAATTTTGGTTTGATTGCCCAGAGGGCTGTCCGGAAGTGGTTGACCTTTGGGCATCCTTGAGTTCATGGGGCAACAGCCACAGGCGTTCAGAGAGGTGTGGTGTTGGCGTGTGTGGTGGTGCTTAGGAAGAGCCATTATAGGGTCATCAAGTGCTGGTGCTGGTCTAGGCTACAGCTGACACTCACCAGGCACCTACCACCTGCCAGGCACTGTGTTAAGCGTGAAACAGTGTTTTCTCCAATTATAACAGTATCTACAATCTTATAGGTGAGGATACAAAGAAGTGAAGTGACTTGCCTAAGACCACACAACGGCACAACTGGAGGGGCAAAATTGGAGCTGGAAACTGTGTCTGTCTACTCCAAAGCTTGTGTTTCTGGTTCAGGCCCCTCAGACCCCAGGGCTTGTGTTGCTGACTCACTCTTGGGCCTGGAGATGTGTGTTTGGCAGGAGTGCCCCATGGCCACACCATGTCCACTGGCACACATCCTCCCTCAGATTGTGACCCCCTACTTGCTCCAGGATCCCCTTTGCTTAGAAGGCAGAGCAAGCCAGGGCCTTTGAGGCCTGCTGGGAGCCTGGGAGCACATGAGTCCATCTGGAGGAGCTGTTTCCACAAGTGTGTGAATTCGAGCTTTCTAGATGAACCACGAAAGGCAGATGGACACTCACAGACATGTCAGGTTCCTTGGCTGCTCTAAGAGACTGATTGTCCCATTGCTGTCTGACTGCAGCCCCAGCCCCGACAGCACAGCTCTCCTCTGGCTTTTCCTGCAGGATGTAAAGCACCAGCCAGTACTGGCACAGCATGCAGCAGGTCTCCACCCCTTTCCATATCCTCTCACTGCGTCAGCCCGTCTTGAAAATATCCCTTCTGTTTGTGTGGCACCTTGAATGGTTTTGCAGTACAATTTCAGTATCTCATTGATCCCCATAATAGCGAGGGCAAAGCAGGTTTTGTCATTCATCCTCATTAATGGATGAGTAAACTGAGGCCAGATCTATGCCTTATGTGTGAGGGCCTTGGCCGGGATTCCAGCCTCTCACCCATTGACCATTTCACTAATCAAGTTTTTCCCCAAACTGCTTAGCAGAGTCCTAGGGGCCCCTTGGAGGTGTCTCAATAGCTGCCATGATGATGTGGGGTGCCAAAGTGAAACGGCTGTGCCCTCCCTGCCCATCAATCATAAGGCTCTGCTTTGAATGGCTTTATATGCACGGCACTTCTGGGAAGTTTAATTCCAACAGTGCTTCCAAAGTCTACAAAACCTTTGAAAACTACTGCACGAGATCATGCTGCTTTTAGCATTCCTAGCATTTCACATCTACCACCTTATGTAATCCTTGTAACTGTACCGTGTGGAGAAATGGGGCAGGTATTGAGAGATGAGGAACTGGGTCCAGAGAGACTTAGCATCTTTCCCCAAGTCACACAGCTTGTTAGTGGCGAACTTGAACGGAGGGCTCCTGACTCTGATCTTTTCCTCTTTTCATAACACTGAGCTGCTCCAGGAGGGAAGCTGCCTTAATGTGCCCCCTCAGCCTGTAATCCTTGCTTCTTTCTTACCCTGTCCCCACTTTCCTCCTGTCTTCAGCCAATCATCTTCGTTTCGGACAGAGCAAACAGCAACAAGGAGCTGGGTGTGGACCAGGAATCAGAGGAGGAGAAAACAAGCCCTGATAAGCAAGAGAAATCCCCCCAGGTTTCTGGAGCATGCAGCAAGAATGGGGCTAGCATGCAAAGGGGTCCTCCTATGCTCTTGGGGTGCATGGGGTTGGAGGGGTCCCAGAAGGTAGGATGTCTCTTTAACATCTAGAGGTTTGGATTTGGTCCACTGACCTCTTCTCTTAGCAAGCAAGTTGCCCTACAATTTGGGATGCTGCTTGGGTGAATGTCTTGGGGGTTGGCTGCTACACCAAGCCTAGGAATGACAGGCTGAGCTGTCCCATTGGTCCTTATCAGCCAGGACAATGACAGAGGGAGACAGGGCCTGAGACAGAACCAGCCTAACCCTGAACAACTCCTGTCTCGTGGTGTCCTCATGACAATGGGGGATAAAGAATGGTAGCAGAAATGTGGTCCTCCAGAGCTCGGGGAGGGTGTTGGAGTGGGAAGAGCTGGTGGTATAAAACTTAGCGCGAGTGAGATTAAGGGGCGAAAGTCCCAGGCAATCCAGGGCCACTTCCTCTCTTCTAGAGCACCATGCAATGAAGTGGGGAGGGGCGTCCTCTGAGGACTTGGCCTTGATGACAGCGGCTGGAGGAATCAAAATGGCCTGATGACTTTTGACCTGCTGGGGCTTGCTTGGTTGGGATGGTCAGGCTCAAAACAGTGGAAGGGCTCTAGCTGGGGGCTGGGGGTGGGGGAGAATAAAGGGGGTTGTCCACATGTCTGCATGGCTAATACATCCCCTTTGGTTGGGGTATTTGGGCCCGGAGAGGCATGGAGTGAGAAGTTGCTGGGGCCTAGAGGATTCTCACTCCAGCTCACCAGGTTTGACTATGGAAGAGGAGCGTTTGCCCGTCCCAGTGTCTGCGGCCACCCAGGGCTGTTCTAGGTACCCTGGCTCCATCAACAAGGAACATTCTTCACAGGTCTGCCTACCTCCCTGATTCCTGTGAACCGTTTTCCTTTGTACTTACAGCCACACACCAGCAACACTGACCAGGAAAGTGAGGAACAGCAGCTATTCCAGAACATCTTCAGGCAGATAGCAGGCGACGTGAGTACCTCCCACCTGAGGCCCCACAGGGGCTTAACTGGGGCTCAAGCTACCAGTTATTTCACTGTTGTTCATAAGAGGTCACTTCCGGCTTTTGGTGGTCCAGGGATACGTGTGTGTAGCAAAAAAAAAAAAAAACCCACAAGTCCTTGACACATCCACTGGGTGTATTAGAGGCCTTTTTACTCTGAGGGGCCCACTGCAGCCTGGCCAGCTGAGGGTGCAGGCTCAGGCCCCTCAGAAAAGGCCCACTTCCCCGAGACAGAATAGCACTGACAGGGATTCTATGAACACGGGTAGCTGGGATTTGTTCTGCAGCCTCTGCTCCATCAGCTGCTGTACTCTTGAACACAGATCTCTTCTTCTTCCCTCCTCAGGACATGGAGATCTGTGCAGATGAACTCAAGAATGTCCTTAACACAGTTGTGAACAAACGTGAGTGGCTCACACTGAATGAGGGGGATGGGCAGGGGGCCGTTCTCTGAAAGTAGCTCATCACTCTTCTCCATACCCCCCAGATAAGGACCTGAAGACACAAGGGTTCACGCTGGAGTCCTGCCGGAGCATGATTGCCCTCATGGATGTATCCTTCCTGCTACCTCTTCCCAACCCTGTCATCAGCCCCTGTGCAGCCCAACAATGAGGGGTGCCCAGTCAGGCAGAGGGGCACAAATTTGTGCCCAAAGAAAGACTTAAGGAGGTCCTGACTCAGAACATCCTGATGCTGGTCCAAATGGGACTGTATGAGGGGGCAGGAGTTGGGAAGGACGTCGGGTTGTACCAGGCCTCTAACCCTGGGGTTCTGCCAAGCAAAGGTGGTTCTGAGGAGACAGGCTCCCTGGGTTATAGAGCAGGCACTAACCTTGACTTGGAGGAGGGGAGCTGAGGGCTAAATACCAGGGCAGGGCAGTGCGTAGGATGTCCTAGGCAAAGCCTTCCTATAGGGCCATCCTCTCTGTGGAACCCCCTAGACACCTTGCCCTCCCAATCCAGGAGGGTTTGCTTTGTACTCTGTAGCCCTGACCTCTCCCCTCCAGACAGATGGCTCTGGGAAGCTGAATCTGCAAGAGTTTCATCACCTCTGGAACAAGATTAAGACCTGGCAGGTGGGAAGAGAATTAAAGGTGGGAATGAAGGAGGAGTTGGTTCCGGAGTTTAGTGTGTTGATGTCTGTCCTCAAATTTTCTATTTCCAGAAAATTTTCAAACACTATGACACAGACCACTCTGGCACCATCAACAGCTATGAGATGCGAAACGCAGTCAATGACGCAGGTGCTGGGGTAGAAGGCGGGCGCCAGGGACGTGGACAGCAGCTGGAGGGAGCAGGAATGGGGTGGGGGTTGAGGCTGCTAGGGCCTTACTGAAGAGAGAAGAAAGGGCTTCTCGTTTTCCTTGCCCAGGCCACAGAGTGGAATGACAAAGAGGACAGGGCCCCAGGAGGTGGGGAAAATAGAACGCAGGCCTAGGTACTCCACCTCCTCCTCCTAACATGCTCCCCTCCGCAGGATTCCATCTCAACAACCAGCTCTACGACATCATCACCATGCGCTACGCGGACAAATACATGAACATTGACTTTGACAGCTTCATCTGCTGCTTCGTCAGGCTGGAGGGCATGTTCAGTAAGTGGGGGCTGCCCTTCTCTCTTGCACCCACAGGGATGGTTGTGCTGTAGGTATCTCGGACTGCTAATCTTTCAGTCTATTCCACCCAGGCTGATCAAAGGCAGAGGTTTTCTTTAGGTGCAGGATGGGATGACAAAAGGAGTGTTATTGGTGAGACTCTGCTGGCAGATATTTGTGCTGAAGTTACAGTGGTGGAGCAGGGTGAGCCCGTCACTGGCCTCAAGCTTGTGTGTTATTTCCCACAGGAGCTTTCAACGCATTTGACAAGGATGGAGACGGTATCATCAAACTCAACGTTTTAGAGGTAAAGCATACAGAGGGAGCATGCTCCCCCATGCCTTCAAGTTCAAAGTGGATGAGTCAGTGAGACAGACTGGACCCATACGTGCTCCTCACTTCCCAGACAGTGGTGGTGGATGGGATGGGAAAGGAGTCTAGAGAAGGGAAGCCAAGCAAGGATTATGGCTCACAGGGCACATGTACCGGGGGAAGGCTCCACGGGGCCTCAGTTCCCGGTGATGTCATGCTGGAAAACACGTGCCTTCCTGGGAGAGCTTGGGAGGGAGGCAGTGAACTGCTGCTTCTTGGAAAACACTCCCAGTGTCTGGCGTGCTGAGGCTGTTCCCTTCTCCCTACCTGTGAGATCCCTGGGGCTGGGGTCTCTTCCTTTGTTTTCCTTCTGATCTCGGGACTTCCTCTTTCAGTGGCTGCAGCTCACCATGTATGCCTGAACAAGGACAGCCTCATCCAAGGCCATGCGAGATGACTCACGATTTCAATTTTAACCAACAGTGCTAGAACCACTTACCTCAAAAGACCCAGTAGCTGCACCCCCAACAGGCCTCCAGTCACCCCTTTCTCATTCCTCTTCCACTTCATTCCCCATGCGGCTTCCTGGCATCTGTTGATCTTTCATGCTTAGCCTCATTGTTTCGTTATGGAATGCAGTAGAGAGAACTCTGTCCCTTTATCACATGGAGGCAAGCACCTCTGAGGTCTGCTCTGAATCTGAGCTGATTTGGCTCTGAACCAATGCAAAGGTTTTGACCTCTCCTTAGCTGTTTGCAGGGGGCCTTTGCCAGTGGCAGAGTCCCTGGGTGGTGTAAACCTCATTTGACTACTCATTGAAAGGTTGGTGGTTTGTATCCATCCAGAGGTGCCTCAGAAGAAAGGCCTGGCAATCTACTTCTGAAAGATAACAGCCATTGAAAACCCTATAGAGCACAGTCCTGCTCTGCAACACATGGGGTCAACATGAGTTGGCACTGCCTTGATGGCAACTGGCTGGTTGGGTGGTTCCTTGTGCTGAGCCCTCTGTCACCTTTATGCAATCCCACTCATGGGATAGGAACCAAACTAACATTGGTTCTGCCTAATTGTTTCAGGATGGGCCCGCTCTGGGGTAAACCAGCTCAGTGGAACAAGGCTGGATACTTTGAGTTGTCTGACTCATAAGTTTGGCTGCATTCTGAAAAGTGCTGACCTAAATAAAGGCATGTGTATGGCTGGTTTCACTGTGTTTTGTTTGCTCACATTTAGATATCTGCCACAGCAGGATCGAATGGCTTCAAATCTTATACTCACTTAACACAATTTCAGAATAGGACAATGGAAAAAACAGACACCCTCAAAAAACAAAACAAAAAAAACCCAAACCCAAACCCTAAGTCAATCATGCCTGTGGCTATTTGTTGAACACAGGAGTCAATCAGATACTTTCCAAGCTGTGTTGAGGAAGGGGGACAGCTGGTGGTGTATAGAAAAAGAATGAATGGCTCACCTGTAACTGGAGGGGCCAGTTACCTGGGTGGGATGGAGCAGAGATCTAGTTTTTAATCCGAGCTCCTCCACTAACTGACCCGTTGTATGACCTTGGACGAAATCCTTGAATGTCTGCCATACTTATCTGGGCCGCGGCCTTTGACATATCTAAAACTGTCTTGTGTTTTCCACTCAATTCCTTCTTGCTCTCTGTACCAGCATGGAAGAGAAAGAGTTGGCTACAAATATGCAGACAAGAAAAGTTAGCCAATTTGTAAAAGTACTTTATTTTCCTCTTGTATTTGCTTTTTATCTGTTTTACAAAGTTATGAAGTTCACAGCTTTATACCAAAATGTAAGAAGGTTAAGCTATTTGCTTATAAACATTTTTGCAGTAAAGGGTCATTTGATTTTATTCTTCTAAGTCCATATTCAATACAAAATAAAAAAAAATCAAAAACCATGGATGCTGGAGCAGCTCTAGGGCATATATTTCTCTTAAACAGGGGAGAGATTTTCAACAGCCCTTCCTCCTTGAGCCCCTCCTCTCCCAATACCTTAGGGTACAACCTTGAACTGAAAGCCTATCTGGTGAACTTTAGTCCCCACAGACCCAGCAGGCCATTTACATGGGGGTTGGAGGTTGGGCTTAGAGGGACAACAGTCTGATCAGTAACAGGCTTGGTTTACAGGAGAAGCTCACAGCCACCTGCACATGGGACTCAGGATAGCCCGGATCACCTCCACTGCAGGGGTTACTCCTACCCATTAGACTGCTTCTCTTAAACTTTGGGATCCTGACGATCTGGGGCAGGGATGAAACCACTACTTTATAAATGGGTCAGGCCTGGCCTTCAGAACAGCTCTAAAAACTCTCCTTTGCTAACAGGAACAAAATTTGTAAGTACACGTATTTAAATTGCAGTTATTTGAGCAAACCAGAGGGTACGGGCTATTCAAATCCCACTTCTCAATATATGTCAATCTGCCCTCCAATGAATTCCCTCCATAAAAAATACTATACCATTCCACTAAGTGTACACCTACTCCCACCAAATCATCCACATGCCTAGCCACTAAAGCTGTCCACTGTATAATCTACAAAAGCAAAAACCCTTTGCTAAGCAAACAATCACACAGCAATAATACTGCCCACAAAGCGTAGGTAGGTCAGGAGTTAAACACTCAACTGCTAACTCTTCTGAGGGAGAAAAAACGATGTCCCTGAAATAGCAGGGGTGCAGTACCAATGACTGCCTCTCAAATTCAAGTACTGTCGGCTGGAGACAATTCTTTTGTTCTCATTGTGTTTGGCTGCTTTATAACCAAGTAGAGGAGTACGCCAAAATATACTTTTGAACCTGATTAAAAACTTTCACATAAAACCTGAAGTAACTGATACCGTATCAGAACAAACTGCCAGGAAAACACTAGCAGATGGACATAAAGAGATTTATGTGGCAGTCCTCTGGGTTTCCAGCCTTCAGAAGCAAGCACAGGCAATTACAAACGACCTTCTAAAATGGCCTCCAATGACTTATAAGAAACGAGTAGGTTTCTGTCAGGTCATTTACCAGTTTCTTTCCTTCACTGAGGTACTAACTCCAGAGTCCACACAAATCCCTGAGCCACAGCTCTCCTCTGAGGGGAACAGAGGGCTCCAATCAGTCATGACATGGTAGGAGGCTTGAAAAACAGTCAATGCTCTGAGTAACTTTTAAGACACTTAAAAGTAATAACACACACCATAAGCAGCCAAGATACTTATGGTACCTTTATTTCTAAACAGCTAGCACGATGTATTCTGAATAACACACGAACCTCGGGTTAAAGGAATTTCACGTGTTCTTGAAACAAAGATGTTACCCCCACCACTTCAAAGAAAACTTCAATGAAATGAGCAAAAACATTACAAGTATAGGGTGACCACATATATACACACATACAAAGGAACATTCATACATGCACACACACGGAGATACAGTGCACACGAGTCTCCCAAAATTAAACCTAAAACACAGCCCTGACTGATTCAATCTGTTGATACCCTCAAAAATTCCCCCACAACTGCCCAACACCTCACGTACCCCTTCCTGTTACACAGAGGCTCCATCACTCTCCTCTGTTCAGACACGTCGTCAGTCAGGACAGAAGGGCACCTATGCAACAGAGCAAAGCTCACACTACCCAGTGAAAAATGCTGGGTTTACCAGTAAGTCCGAACGCACTTTTCCAGGAAATCACCACTCCCAAACCCACAAAACAGTCTGGTTTCTCTGGTCACTCTTACAGGAAGCAGGGATGGGAGGTGGGAAGCTCTGTAACCTAATACAGAAACAGCACAAATAAACTTTAGGCAACAGAATCTTCTCTGTTCTCTTAAGCATCATGCAAATCTCAACAGTGTGGGTAACAAAAGTTTCCCCACTCACAAGGACAGGAGTAAATCATTTGCAGGGCCTTTCATTACTTAGCAGTAGCTCCTAGATTATTTGTTAACAGTTTTCGGGATCCTGTAATAACCACCGGAGCCTTTCCTGGAGAGAGCATACAGCTCTGCAAACAATCTCAGGGTTCGCAAATGCTTCTGAAGCCTATCCAGGGAGAAGCCCCTGCCCTAGAACCCGAGCAAAGACGTGTGTGCACTAACGGGTGGGGATGAACCTGGAAGCTCTGCATTTCTAGAAAACCACAGGCCTCACACCATGAAGCCTGGCTTGTGGCACTGGGCTCTTTCTCTCTGAAGAATCTGTTCTGAGTTTTGAGGATCCAAAAACAAAAGGTTGGAAAGCAACGTTTCTACAGCTTTACAGAGACAAGTCCAGAGAAATTCAAAACCAAAGCAGCTCCACTGAGGCTTTGTTAATGTGGCCGCTCTCAATGGACGGCAGAGTCTTTACCTTCACCACACTCCACTCTTCTCTCCCAGCTAGCAGGGCTGTGAAGGCAGACACTGGTTTCCAGAAACAAGTCTCTAAGAAGCCTGTGTAAGGCTCTCAAAACTACTCAGTTGCTTTATCCTAACTCCCCACTCCTGAGTGCTGGAAGCACCCTGTGGGTCCAGAGGAAGTACTTGATGGCTGCCACCGGTCTAGGACAGCTAGACAGTGGGGGAGATATGGGCTGGCAAGGGAGCAAGCCAGGAGGCTTCAAATCCACAGCAGGCTTGGAGAGTCAGAAACTGGAAAGGACATGAAGGCTCCAGCTCCAGCAGACTGACAGTGCCTGCAGCAGTGAGTGTCCAGACCAAGAGCAGAGCGTAAAGCCAGACATCAGGTCTGCGTGCTGCCCTGCATGAGCACTCTATCAAGACCTGCAGGGGTTCACTAGGAACAGCTGCCTGTCAGGACCTGTCCTTATGTGATCTGCTTACTGAATCCTGAAGCACTGTCAGCAGAACAGCCATTCTAGCTGTTAGGATCTACTGTGTGTCCTTTAGCATTCAAAAAGCCAGCTCTGTCCGTCTATAAAGCAGGAGAATATTGAAACCTACTGCATGTAACTGTTAAGAAAGGAAACTATTTGCTATCAATTTTAATGTCCAGTTATTACAACTGGAAAAAATAAAACTGATTCTGAAAACCTAGCATTTGAACAAACTTGTAACTTGAAAGCCTGACTACAGGTTTAAACCATCATGAGAACATGAACTAGAATTCACAAACCCAAAGTCAGGAAAGTATGTGTATGATGAGGGTAACCAATTAAGATCTGTGTCTTTAACAAACATCCGGAGAACATTAGCAGCATACATCACTACGCTGTAATGCCCCAGAGGAGTGTAATTCCTTAAAATCGGTTTAAATCTGACAAACCTCCAGCAAGAACTTAAGGTGTGACCTATCACCCCACAGAGCTGCCCAGACATGTTACTGGTAAGTCTGGCATGGAAACTGCTCTCTCCTTCCCTGCTTCCCTGAGGAAGGGAAGTGGAAGGTTTGTGTGAGGGGCTGGTGTGAAAAGAGTCAAACTAATGACTTCCCAACATGGGAGGCAAAAAACTTCATGAATCAATTTTGCTATCATCTTCAGCATGTCGTTCAATGTGTCCTGCAGCATCCTAGGAATAAAAGGAAAAAGGGCCCATGAGAAGAGTTGGCAGCAGAGCAGGAGAAAGTCAAAGTCAAGGAAAGTCCTATTGTACACTCTCGATAGGATCTATAGGTGAAAGGCACCTATGAGTTATGAGCCCACACTTGGCTAATTTACATGCAACTATGCACTTAAAAATGCGCTCCTGTCTTAGCACAGGACATTATAATAGGTTCAGATACTGGATTTGAAACATACGAAAACATTCTTGTTAGGTTCTTTACCCAAAACTCAAAACTACCTATGAATTCCTCCTTCGAAACCACATTACCAATACTAGTTTCTTTTCTAAAAGGAAAAATGCTTAGGCCTCCCTATTTGGTGCAATTCTGAACATTCTGATAAGGCAAAAGAATTTGAGAGTCACTTGGACTTTGTTTGTTATTTATTTAGAAAAAAAAAATTCCTAGATAGCTCAACTGCTAAAGGGGAACAGAAAAGAATGGTGTTCGGTCATTTGAATATCTTTTCCCTTAAAGTGGTAACTGGGATGTATTCAAGAATCAACCAAATTATCCAAATTGTGGAATTCAATCAAATTATTCTCTAAGCCAGGGGTTGGCAAACTTTCTCTGTAAAGGGCTGGACAGAAAATATTTAGGCTTTGCACACTGAACAGTACCTGTCACAGCTAGTACACAGGCAGCCACAGACAATGTGTAAACAAATGGGCCTGGATGTGTTCCAATAACATTTTATTTACAAAAACAGGCAGAGGGCCAGATCTGGCGCAGAGGCTGTAGTTTGCAGACTCCTGCTCTGAGTAGTCTACGGAACCCCAGGTTAACCTCGAGGCCCACTAACATACCTGTTTGGATCCTTTCCTAGCAGTGAAAAAAGCATCGCAGTTTTTCCAGCGACATTTCAGAGTTTGAAAGTTCGGATTAGTGTGGTCAGTCAGCAAGTGTTGTTTCAAATGGTCAATGACACCAAATATTAGCGTGCAACCATGCCACTGGAGAGAAAAATAATGAAGACTCAGTTACAAAGTACAAGAATTGTGCAATCACTTTTACCCCATAAGTATTGTGGATGTAAAAAATAAGCTCCTTATTCTTTAATTTATTCTTTGCTAGAAAATATAACAAAGCTAGAGGTAACCAAATTATTTATCAATACAGTGAGAAACCTTGAAAAAAACTGGAAAGTCTGTTGATTTATTAGACAGCTAAGGAAAAGGTTAGCAAACATTTATAGATGAGTTACTGTAAAATTCGGTTTAAACCATACTTTATTCTATACCTTGTCATCATAACACTGAGCTTCCATCTCATTCTATTTATTTAAAAAGGCAAAGAACTTTTCTATAATATTGAAAGGGTTGTTATTCCTTAACAATTTGAAAAAACTGTTGACATGTTAATCTGATAATATAAATGTCTAATAAAGAAAACGGAGCCCTGGTGGTGTAGTGGTTAAAAGCTCAGCTGCTAACCAAAAGGTCGGCAGTTCAAATACACCAACTGCTCCCTGGAAGCCCTATGGGGCAGTTCTACTCTGTCCTATAGGGCTACTATGATTTGGAACCTCCTCAACGGCACCTAACAACAACAACAATAAAGAAAACTACATTTGTAGAAATATTTGTTGTAGAAAACGGTCTTCACTACAGAAGGCTAACTTTATCCACAATCTTCACCACTTTAATCACAATCTCGTGATTACCCACTTTTTTTTGGACTGTAACTTTCATTATGTGGTTCAATTTCACTTCTTAGTCAGAAAGCATAAAGCCTCTTTATCTTAGCTTTTTCCCTACAGGCTTGTTTGTAATAAAATTTGTGATTATAACATGTTCATTTCTAAAGAGTAATGCAAATTTAAGGTTTTCCTCGGTACTATCCTATCCCTCTTCCTTTAAAACCAGAAAGTATTTTCCCCGTTTTTCTATGTAGATTAATTCTCTATTAGCGTATTCTGGATCCTGTCGTACTCGATTTTGCTTGCCTTCATCGAGACAACCAAAGCAAAGACAGGAATGTATGAAAAGCTGACAAGTACTTAGGCCATGGGGAAAACTAGAATGAAATTTAAAAAAGGACAGTGTCAAGTTTATTCCATTCATGCGGAAAAGCAGGTCAGAAGTCTGGGGATGGGGGGACATCAGTGCCATAAGCTTTTCTTCAGACACTAGTAGTATTAGAACTGATGAAACAAAGTAATGTTGATTTATAAGGAACAGCGCGGTGAGAGTTTTGAGAGTTAATTGCCAGTCCTCACCCCAAAATAAAGCCTCGAAATTTAGCCCAGTGAACTGAGATTTAGAACTCCAAGACTACACATTCTAATTTTCCAATTCTTCTAAACTGACAAGGATAAACACAGAACTATTAATATTTGTAATCCCTAAGGAGTGGGTGTAGTACAGGGGCAGGTCATGAAAATAAGCACGTGCACTTTTTATTCTTGACTTCTCTATTGTTGGATCTTTGTAAGCATGTGTTGTTTTTATAAAAAAAACACAACAAAAACCACCTAGGAGACAACCTTTGAATACAAGATATTTAAATGTACCTCATATTTTAAAGCAGACTTTTTATTCAAGAAACATGGAAGTAGTTTCTGTGTAGTTTTAAAAATTAAACTTCCTTGTTCTATAACGGAAGGCATAAGGAAGATGTTCAAATAGAAAACGCTGAACTGATGACAATGAAGATCTTCAAATCCACCTAGGGTCAAGCAACTCCTAAACCTGGCAAAAAAGCAGAGTATCACGTCTTACCCAACAGCGGTAATTCTGCATCAGATTTAGCCTCACAGCCTGAATACTGCCATCATAACAGCCCGTGTAGATCTGGAGAAAGAAATGAATGATATCAGACCGAAATAACACTCAGACAAACAAAGACAAAATATCCTCAAAGAGTCAAAAGCTACTTGTAGCAGCTGTAAGCAGGTAACACCAATCTAAACCAAAACCAGCCCCGGGTACTAGAACGGGAAAAGCATTCTGTAGATCTTCTAGTCGAGGGCCTTCTAAGCTGTGCTCCTTAGAGCCACTCTCGGGGTCATGGCTGAGGCCGGAGTGGCAGGGTGAGAGGCACCCTTCATATCTTAACCGGTACAGCTATGGCTTCTACTTGGCATTATATTCTAGGTTCCTGTATTTCAATGGAACAAAGGGTTCTACTGCTTAGTCTGAAAAACATCCATTTTGGTTTGACCCCATAATTTAAAAATAAAATAAACCAAGGTGCAGCAGGGTTAAGCGAGTTAGCTTCGACTTTTAGGTCTGCCCCTGACTACGCCACACTGGCCAAATCTCCTGACTCCGTTCCAACGTTCTGCTCAGATCATAACGCCTTTGGAAAACCACCACTCCATTTTTTTGGCAGCAGCTTAAATACCACTATTTAATGGTGATTATTAGATTTTTATTGTAATTATTTTAGTCATTAATAGAAATGGAGCCCTGGTGGCACAGTGGTTAAGAGCTACGGCTGCTACCCAAAAGGTCAGCAGTTCAAATCCACCAGCCGCTCCTCGGAAGCCCTATGGGGCAGTTCTACTCTGTCCTGTAGGGTCGTTATGAGTCGGAAATGACTTGACGGCAACGGGTTTGGTTTTGGTTTTTTATTAGTAGAAAACGAAATGTTCTCACTATTATTATGCCAAGAGATAGAAAGGTATTCAATAAATGAAGCATTATGAGAACAGATGTCACCTTTGGAAGTCACAGGTAGTAACATTTTTATCAGTTTGGAGAACTTTTAGTAAACACACTCAAAGGTAAATATTTGATATGGCAAATAATACTCACCATACTTTTATGGATGGTCATACACATAATCATGTCTTTGTGTCCTCCATAAACTTGCAGTCGATCATGGGACTTAGGCAGAAAACAAAACAGCCAGAGAACTAAGGTTATTTACACTTGTGTTTAACAAGCATTGTCTCTGAGGGTCCTCGGCAGGTTTAAAACTCTGAGACACTAAGCTGAAGCACCACTAGCATTCTAACAGAAATACAACTTAACAGCAGTCTTTCTAATACGTCTCCCTCTCCAAGGGGGTAGCTGATAATTAGAAATAATAAGACCAATTACTAGGTAGGGTCAAAGTCTCAAACTTGAAATTGCATACAAACAGAACTAGACAGACTCTAGAGAACAGAGCTACTCCTCCGGAAGCCATTTAAGTTTTGATGCCTATACATACATATCCACACACAGACACACACACACACAGACACACACACACGTGTATGTTATAGACATCTCGGAGCAGTGTTTCTGAAAGGGTAGCCTCTGGACCAGCTGCTTCGCAACTACCTAGCATGAGTGTGAAAATGAAGATTGCTTGGTCCCACCCCAGACTTACTGTATCAAAAAATCAACACCAAACCCAAACAATCTCCCCAAATAATTCAACCAAAAATACTAGATTTGAATTTTACCTGTAATTCATAGACACGAACAAATTTATCCAGGCAAGCAGTCACCATCACTTTCCCCAGGATGTTCACCACAGTCACCGCATGGCTGTGACCTTTATAGATGCGCACAAGCTCACCAGTCTGCATCAGAAGAGAGGTAAGACTCACTAGACTGACTCTGAAAGTTCTTTCCAACTTCCCAGACTGATGACTCTACAATTCCGAGAGGCAAGCCGAGGCTTACTTGTACTAACTCTAACAGCCGAAGTATTCCCACAAGCATTTGTTACCTCTACAGAATATATGAAACACATCCTGATGGAGAAAACCCAGTGTCACAGGAAGAGAAGGGCCACAGTGATACTATATGTATTATTTCACAGCTTTCAAAGTACTTTTCACTTTCATCATCTCATTGGATCTGGACAAGTCCATGAGGCGGGATTACGCCCAGGTTTACAGACCATGAAGCTGGGTGAGCATCAAAGAAGTGATTTATTTATCCAAGGTACCAACATCAGTGCTCTTTCTGTTCTACTAGAACTGCCCCTGTGACCTGAGCACAGTCTGTTGTTTTCATGCTTCTATTTTAAGCTACAAATCATAACCACTTTTAGAACTTTAGATGCTCAACTTATCTCAAGTTAAACTAAACTTCACATAAACTTCTGAGTCTGTCCCCATTAAAAATTTTGTTGAGGTCAAAATTTTTAGGGTGCTCCATATTATCCAAGAGCTTAAGCACAGGGATTATTATTAAACCTTTTCACTGGGTAAAGGGCTTAATTTAAGTTACTAGAGTCTGAGGACTCCTTTAAGCTTTAACTACCATTTCTAGTCAAGATTTGTTCACACTACATCAACATGGCTTACATGGATGTTGTGGGCATGGACTGACTGATCGCTGGAGCCACTGAACACAAGGTCATTCACCACCTTAAAGATAAAAAAAATTTAGAGTTCCTTTCAGTATAAGGTTCTGAGTTTCCTCTGTAACTTGTAATACATATGGGCAAATTTTTAATTTTCATCCTATTTTGAGATGAGCATGAACTAGGTATAGTATATTAAGTTTCTCAGATAACTTTTCTCAACGGACACTTACCCCCTACCACCAGGCACTCTACTCTGGTGAACTGACCATGTGTTACTGGGTTTGTTGCCTCTTCAGAATAATTATGAAGTAGTGTAGAAAGACATTAGAGTATACCCACATTCTACAATGAAATACACTTGTGCTGTTTCTCAGTTAATATATTAAAAGAATAGTCTATCACTCCACCCAGGTGTGGAGAAGAGGACTGTAATCATGCTGCTCTTTTCAAGATGGCTGTGCTCTAAATAATGCATTAGACAGCATAGAAAACGTCATTCAAAACTGTTCCACTTCAGCCGAACAACTCCTCTTCTCGTACACCGCACTTGCCTTCATGCAGAGAACGGTCTTGCTATGGCCCTCCAGAGTTCTGAGGAGCAGTCCGTTGCGTGCATCGCGTACACTGATGGTGCAGTCATAAGATCCCACAACCAGCAGCTTTCGGGCACCTTCCTGAGCTGTGGCGAGACAGCTGACAGCCCGAGGGCCATGGCATTCAAAGATATCAAGTCGTTTGTTGTTCTGAAAAATAAGCCACTTTACACCAAGTAAAAGCAACTGGAAAACTTCAGAACAAACTAACCAAAATCACTGCCTGGGTACCAACTCTCAGTTCTATTACCTGTACTCAAATCCCCATATCCACCCCGTCCTTAACTTCCCGGCCTTTGCCACTCCCATGCCCACTCTCTCTGTTGTGTTCATGACACTTCTCATTCCAGTGGGGGCAAACTCTTCACATTACAAACTCACTTCTAGCTTCAACCCACACCGTCCTTATCCTGATTAGAAGTTTATCTTCGGATTAGGAAAGGACGAGGCCATGACGGCAAACCCCTGACTAAGTTCACTTTACAGAACAGGCCACGTTCATGGAACCCTAAAAAAGTTCCAAACCACATCAATGTCACATTCAAAGGAATTCAAGTTCACTTTTCATGGTGTCATTCTTAAAATGAGACAGAACTGGAGTAGCCTACGACTCATCATTTGGCCCCAAATCTGCAGGCCTGGCTTAGCTGAGCAGAGTTATTTGAGCTTGAGCAGGCAGAAGGGAGGATCTTGTTTCACTCACATCAGAAGATAAGATTCTAAGTAGTGGCCAATTCCGCTGCTTCCTCATACATGAAAACAGGAAAATGCCTGCCTTCTACTTCCTCCCATACAGACTCACACTATTTTCCAGTGACATGGGATTTCAGCCTTCTCTCCTCCACCCACTAACCTTTATACTGAAGGTGACCACAGTGCCATTTGCCAGTCCTGCATAGAGGATCCGCCACCTACTGTGGAGACAGAGAATCCGGTCTTCCAACTGCAGCTGCTCCACACACTCCCGGGTCTGAGAAAAGTATACACAAAGCCTGAGCACCAGAGGCAAGTGGCAGAAAGACTGTGAAAGCAATTTCTTCTGGAAACAGAGTCTGTCTGAAATTATTCTTATGAGGAAAAAATGTGGCATCCTTTATTTTGTAGAGGACTATTTTAGACTTTTTTCCCCTTTGGAATATAAAGGCCCAAACCCCCAAACCATAGGTAACAACGAAAACAAATATAAATTCTAATAATGTTACCCATGTTTCTAATTTGGAATGTAGAAATTCTCTAAAGTTGGGTCTTAGTCTCTTAAATTAAGTGGCCAAAGATAAAGATAAAGCAGCATCTGCCATCTAAAATGGAAAATGGGAGTTATATTGGTATATTTAGATATTTGGTAATTGTGTTAATCAAATATGTGCTTCCCTGCAGTAGATTCTCTATTTCAATGACTCCTAACTGCTTCCTTTAAGCGGGTACCAGGTGTAGCTTTTCTAATGACCCAGGTCATAATTACCCAAGAAGCTTTTAAAAAAATAAAACCCCTCACCCTTCAGCCAAAGATTAGACAGGCCCATAAAACAAAACGAGACTAATGGGGCACAACAGCCCAGGGACAAGGACTAGAAGGCAGGAGGGGACAGGAAAGCTGGTAATAGGGAACCCAAGGTCAAGAAGTGAGAGAGTTGACATGTTGTGTGGGGTTGTTAACCAGTGTCATAAAACAATACGTGTACTGTTTAATGAGAAACTATTTGTTCTGTAAACCTTCATCTAAAGTACAATAAATTTTTAAAATAAATAAATAAAACCCCAAGTTTCAGCCCCAATCCCTGAGATTCTAATTCAGTAGGTTCTGGAATATGTATTTTTTAAAATTTCCTCAGTAATTCTGATGAACATCCAGGTTTAAGAACCATTATTTGATCTGACTTTCAAGAAATGATTTCCATGAATTTCCCAGAACTGGGTTATACTGGCAAATCTTATCACCTAGAACCTAGAATAGGGCCAGTCACATAGTAAATGTTCAAGATCAGCTGTTGAATGACACTAAATGACTAAATGTAACTTTTAAAAAAGGTTTGGATACAGATGTTAACATCAAGACGGTTATAAATTGGTGGGACAAGCTGTGAGCTGTCAAATCCTTTGATCTCTTCTCCCAACCTTCTCTCATACCAGAAGAGCCAGTCTTTTAAATTAATTTCCCCCCATAAAATTACAAATATAAATGCAGTAAGAAATTGTAAAATATAGAAGAAGACAGTAAATATGCCTAAAAGTTAAGATTAACGTGGGCTCTGGTTACCCCATATGAGGTCTTTTTGTAATTTAAATGGGGAAATTTGAACACTACACAGCAATAAAACAGAACAAAGTATCAGTACATGCAACAACACAGATGAATGTCAGACATTATAGTGAGCTAAAGCTGGACAGGACAGTATACATACAATCTGACTGTATTTATATGAAGTTCATGCCCAGACAAAAGTAGTCTATAATGATAGAAGTCAGAATGATGGTTATCTTTGGAGGCAGGTAGTGACTGGAAAGGCACAGGAGGGAACCTTCAGGGCAATGGAAATGGTTTACATTCTCATCTTGGTGGTAGTTACATAACTGTATACCTATGTGAAAATTCACAAGCTGTATGCTTAAAATTTGTGTAGTTTACTGTATGAAGTTATACTTCAATTTCAAAACATGGTTCAAGTGTTTTTTCCACTAATGTACACCTCCACCATGCCTAATCCTACTTGTGTTACAATCATTAAAAATACTGAGTCAAAAATAGTACTGTACTTTTGTTTCAAATTGCATTTTTGGCAAGACTGGTTTACTTTCAAATGGTTACTTGTATTTCTTCTTTTTAAGGAATTTTTTCTCTTTTGTCAATTTATACATAGAAATTTTTATATTCTTCTCAAAGGTGTAAGCTCCTTACAGCATAGGATATTAACCCTGTCCCTATCCTATAGTACGACGATTTTTTCCCTGTTTTTACTGAAGATTATTTCTTGCCAAAATTTGTTCGCAATTTTTTACAGCTTTATTGAAGCATAATTTCCATAGAATCAAATTCACACCGGCTAAACACATATTCATTAAGCTTTGGTAAGGTATACGGTTTGTGCAACCACTACCATATAATAAACTTTCAGAGCATCTCTACCACCCCAAAAAGTTACCTCGTACCCTTTCCAGTAAAGCCCCACCGCCACGAAAGCACGGAAGAAGGCAGAGCGCAGAGACAGAAGGAAATTCAGTTCCCCTGACGCTGCTGAGCCACTGGCTCGACCGCTTCTACAGGCGCTCTGGATTCCTCTGGACCCGCCTACCTTAATGCTATAGCAGTGGATGGTGTGATCGCTGGAGCCAGTGTAAAGGGCAGCATTCTTCCCAGAGGTCTGAGTCACCAGGAGGCAGTTCACTTTGGAGGTGTGGCCGTCAAAGACACCTACACATTTCCGACTCTGAAGTCAAACACAGATCAAGTTATTACTTGTAGGATATAAAAGGATTAGGTAATGCATTTCCTCAACAAAAAGATGCTAGAAAAACTGTTCACTGCTGTATCTTCAATGCCAAGAATGGTGTCTGGCACACTGCCTTAGATACCTAGGGCTGCTATAACAGAAATACCACAAGTAGATGCCTTTAACAAATAGAAATTTATTCTCTCACAGTCTAGAAGTCCAAATTCAGGGTGCCAGCTCCAGGAGAAGGCTTTATCTCTCTGTCGGCTCTGGGGGAAGGTCCTTGTCATCAATCTTCCCCTGATCTAGGAGATTCTCAGTGCAAGGACCCTGAGTCCAAAGGACACACTCCCCTCCTGGCTCTTGTTTCTTGGTGGTATGAGGTCTGGTCCCTCTGTCTCTCTGCTAGCTTCCCTCTTTTATATCTCGAGATTCACTCAAGATACAACCTAATCTTGTAAATTGAGTCCTCCCTTATTAACATAACTGCCTCTAATCCTGCCTCATTAACATCATAGAGGTAAGATTTACAACACATAGGAAAATTACATCAGATGACAAAATGGTGGGACAATCACCCAATACTGGGAATCATGGCCTAGCCAAACTGACAGACATTTTCGGGGGACACAACTGAATCCATAACAGACATGAAATGTGTTCAGTAACTATTTGTTCTCTGAATGCCGATCAAACAGTCACAGGTACTGAGTAACCGCACCTATATAAGTCAGCAGAGCCAAACCAAAAAATAGGGTAATTCACTATAAGATACACTGAATTTTAATTAATGCCTATTGCAAGGCTCTCCAACATATGGACCAAGGACTAGCAAATCCAAACTGTAGATTATTACCCAGGTAAGTTCCTGCTTTTGATCAGCAGTGTATGAGAATGCTCCACGATATTCAAAGACAAGTCAGGGGCCATCAAAGGTTCGAGCGGGCCAGCTGTGGTTTCATAAGGGACCTAAATGTTACTTCTGTACACATTCTGAGATCTATTTAGAATGTGCATACATACATACATTTCCTCCAATTTAAAGCTGACCTCCCTTACTCATGCTTCAGGGTACCACTGCTTCTTTCCCTCAGCCATCCCCGCTGCCCCTCACAGTATGAGGCTGAAAGAACCCATATACCTGCCTATGGCCAACACGGTTTTCTGGCCCATCACCTAACTGTGACTTCACTGATTTCGGCAATTTCAAATACTTTCATCGTGTTTGTTCAGACAATATAGTGTTCCTAAAGTTTCTCGGCTATAAGTGTTAATGAACAGAATCAGTCTGACATAAACCAAATTCAAAATTCCAGAGTTCATTCTATGAAAACGGAGAGTAATGAGCATCAGGTTACACTGACTGTGGGGTACAGAAAGAGCGGTGCTCTCCTCCGTAACTTGGACTTTGCAGTTGATCAACTGCCACAAAAAATGCCTCTAATGCTGTTGTTAGCTGCCATCAAGTTGATCCCAACTCATGGAGACCCCACGTGTGCTGAGCAGAACTGCTCCATAGGGTTTTCAAGGCTGTAGCCTTTCAGAAGCAGATCACCAGGCCTTACTTCCAAGGCGCCTCTGCGTGGTTCTGAACCATCAACCTCTCGGTGAGTAGCCCAGCCCTTAACCACTGTGCCACCAGGATTTCCTTCCTCCTCCAATACCTCTCCAATATTCACTCTGTCCCTCCTCTATTATGGAGCAGCCATGAGAATGCCCCCATCACCAACTCCATGGGTGGGACTCATCTAGTCCAAGCCTATCAGTATAATCCTATCCCTCTTGCCACAGGCGACTGGCTCAAGAAGTAAAGCACAGGTCTCTTTTTCATGGTGGGCCCCAGGCAGTGATCTTGTGAGCATGAGGGGAAGTAACTTTAGGAAGAGGCAGTATCAGAGAAGGCAGAGACAGAAAGAAATTAAGTCCCCAGTGACACTGCAGAGCTGCTGAATCAACCCATCTAGTCAGTCTAAAGTCCACCCCTACCGTGACAGCCAGTGTTGTTGGCGTTGGATGCTGTTGAGTTGATCCTGACTCAAAGTGACCCTACAGGACAGAGTAAAACTGCTCCATATTCCCTAGGCTGAAATCTTTATGGGAGCAGATTGTCAGGTCTTTTCTCCCACAGAGTGACTGGTAGGTTCAAACTGTTGACCTTTTAGTTAGCAGCCAAATGCTTTAACCACTGCACCACCAGGGCTCCTGAAAAGAACTCTTTATTGTTTAAGAGAGGAGTCGTGCGTGGTCCAAATGGTTAATGTTCTCAGCTGCTAACCAAAGGTTGGAAGTTTGAGTCTACCCAGAGGTGGCTCAGAAGAAAGGACTGGTGATCTGCTTCCAAAAAATCAGCCACTGAAAACCCTATGAAACACAGTTCTACTCTGACACACGGGGTCACCGTGAGTCAGAATCCACTTGATAGCAACTGCTTGTTTTTTAAAACTGTTTAAGAGAATCCATGTTGGATTTTCTATAATTTGCAACCCAAATTATTCAAATTGATATATCAATTTACCACCAAATTATAAACTCGGACAGTTTTATCCGCTGAACAGGTATACAGTAAGTTTCCAAATATTTGTATTGCATTCACTGCAGCTTGGTGCCCCTCAAAGCTCCCTTCTGTGGGCTCGTCATCATCTCCTGGCTCTGAAGATATTTCTAGAAAACAAGAATATGTTTCAAAGACATGTTTGCTAGAGTTTGAAAAAACATTCAGAAATCAAAACCATTATACAATATAGTGGTCCCTGGATTAAACCAAAAGATCTCTTCAAAGCCTGAAAAAAAAAAATACCCAAACCCATTGCCATGGAGTCGATTCCAACTCATAGCGACCCTAAAGGACAGAGCAGAACTTCCCCCATAGGGCTTCCAAGGAACCCTTGGTGGATTTGAACTGCTGACCCTTTGGTTAGCAACTGAGCACTTAACCACTCTGCCATTAGGGCTCCCTATAAAGCCTACTTCCCTGGGAAAAAAATCACATTTTTCATTAATGATCTTCATTATGAAGTTCCATAATAAGAGAAGGCAGGGAAGGCTTTTCATTTAGGAAAAAGACACTTAAATAGTGAGTTTTTGAGTGATACTTGGAAGGTACCCAATTTCTCTCCACACCCAGTATCTCCCCTGCTACTGGTTATTTCTTTGAATAAGGCACTCTTTAAGCAGCTCCTTCTCAAAGAAAATACCACTGGAGCCACTGACACATTATATAATACTAACTAGTTGAACAGATAGAGAGGCAGATAAGAGAGATGGGAGTAAGGAGCAGAAAAGACAAGGATGCAAGGGTTTAGGGATACTATCACTGCTGATCAAACAATTCTCTTGCTGATGAAACCCCTCTCTTTTCCTATTCTGTAAGTACAATTTAAGCAGCTTTAAACCCTGGCTCTAATACAGAGAAAGCCTTTTTTTCTCTAGTAAATTTACATAAAGGTGAACAACCAAATACCTGAACAGTTCTTTGATCCTTTAATGGAGGAGATCACAGTCTGAGTTTCTGCCACACTGAAAAATAACAAAAATCTTCTTAGCGTCTGTGTGAGCAGGAGAGGCAGCGTAAACTGACCTGACTCTAAATAATTTTTCTAAACAACAGGCAAAGTAGTAATGACCTAAGAGATCGGTTTTTCCATCTGAAGTTTCTATATGAAGGGAAATAAAAGGAGTGAATATTCACAACACAGTCAAAAGAGAAACAGAAGATTTGATCTTCACTGCCAGGGTTTGGTTCTTCCATATCCACACCTTTTTTTTTTCCTAATAAATTTAAATTTAAAAAAAAAAATTGATTCATAATAAAAAGAAGTTCTACTTACATATATATATACACACATATAAAGGAGTCTGGTGAAAGCCATTCTGACTGGACCAATACAACATCCTTACCTTACAGGGATGCCATCCTTATAGCGAGTGCCAATCTCACTGGTAGAGCTAACTTCATCGCAACCAGAACGAGAAGTTTCTAGTGGGTTTTGCTCTGTGGAGTTCCAGATATCCTTTTTAGATGGGCTGTCTGGTTTCTCTTCTCCAGATTCAGAAGAATCAATGGCTACTACTTCTAGCTGAGGATTGGGAATTTCTAGAACTTCCAGAGACGAGTCACTGTCTGGCTCATCTCTCACGCTCTCTTGCTCCTGGCCAGTTCTGCCATCTTCCCAGGTGGAGGTTGTTACTTTCCCCCCTTTAGTTAACTTTCCAGTTTTCACTTTCCTTACAGGTTTGGCAGTAAATACATCCTGCTCAGTGTCACTGTTCTCAGGAACATGGGCAGCCCGTAGAGTTTTCTTCTTTCTAAGTTTCTTCTTTTTCTTGTTTCCTCTACTTTCTGCTGATGTCAGAGTGGATTCTGCCTGTTGCTCAGGCTGGTCTGCTGGAGAGTGGGGTTCCTTTTCCAAAGAGGTTTCCGAAGCAAAGGGCAATCTTGGAAAAGAACTGGTACAGGCTTCTGACTCACTGTTGCCTCTGGCTGGCTCTTCTCCTTCTTTATTCATGTCAGGAAGATCGGTTGATTGGGAAGAGGGAGAATTCTCTCTGTTTCTGATATTTCCTTGTTCCACAGGAAACTTCAGTTCTTGGCTAGCCTCATGGAAACTCTCTGTTAGCTCTGATAAGGACAACGTTGCAGCGATGACTGGGTAAACTGGACAACTGTCACCGATCTCTCCTGAGTTGAGAAGAGAAAAATTACTGCATCTTTCTTTGTGTCCATTATTTATAGTCACAAACTACAAATTATTTATCGCTGATTCAATCTCTACTAAATAATGAAGTTTCCATGATAAGTTAACAAAACCATGACTGTTACAGCTGCTACATCACTCCTCAGCTTCCCCTAACCTGCACACATTCCTATTACAGTACTCACTATACTCCTTGCACAAATAACGTCCATGTCTTATTGCCTACGAATCCCTGTGGACGGGGATGGTTTCTATCCATCTTTCTTTTCTTTCCTGTTTTATATGTCCACATATTTACCAATGTGTTTCATTCTTAGCAGAAACTTAAATATCTACTTAGCTGAAGCACTTTCACCTTTATTTCTTACTTGTTTTCACTGTACATTTTACCTTTACATCACCCAATTTAGCTACATACCAGTAGTTTAAAAGTCAGCTGACTTAAAAATACCTGTTTCCTTTGACTTAGTTGTTTCATGCCTAGGGATTTAAACTGTTGAAATAATCAAAGACATATACAATGTAGTGTTATATATAATAACACTATTATTATATATAATCA